CCATCCCCCCTTTCCTCCTCCTCCTCTTTTTTAGAAGCAGCAATCGGAGATGGATGTCTCTCTTTGCCCTACCAAGTGCACTTTCTGGAGGGTATTTTTGCTCTGGAGCATTTGGGGAGACTATCTGCTTTCGGTGCTGGCTTGCCCTGCTAATTGTCTTTGCAGCAAGACAGACATCAATTGCAAGAAGCCGGATGATGGGAACCTCTTCCCTCTCTTGGAAGGGCAGGATTCAGGCAGCAGCAATGGCAACACGAGCATCAATATCACGGACATCTCAAGGAACATCACTTCCATGTAAGTGGGGGTCCCCCAGGGCTCCCCTCCCGCGGCAGGGTGCGGGCTGGGCTGCCCGTGCGGGGCTCAGCTGCCCCCGGCATCGCTGCACTGTCTGGGCTCAGCCCGGCTCCCCGGGCACAGGATGCAGATCTGGCTTTTCCTTTACCCCATCCCCCCGAAAAAAACATAAAAAGCCCAGCAACAGTTTGGCCAAGGCTTAAGAGGAATAAAGTAAATGAGATCTGATTCCTTAGCAGGAGAGCGAGCAGCAGGCAAAGATGCTAAAGCTGCTGCTTTCTTTAACTGTTTGCTTCTGCAAGGGGAACGGGGACGCCACAGCCACACACCGCCACATATTTACCCAAATTGGGCAAGAAAAACAAGTTTCTGGCTGTTTTCTCTTTCTTGAGACTTTGTATCCAGTTAAAATGTCATTATTTTTTACATCCCTACATCAGAAAATGCTCGCTTCCCTGCCTTGGCTGAGTGTATCTGGGGGTCTGCGGTTTCACATTTTTAAGAGGAGGAAAAAAAAAAATTAGGACAGTGAGATGTCCCTTAAGTAGCTTATTTAATTCACATTGTTATAATTTTGTAACTCGTCGTGGTGCCGCGAGAGGATTTGTGCGTTTCAGGTTCGGGGTGGTGGCGGTGGGGAGAAGCATCGGAGCACCGAGATATTTTTAGTTGAGCACTTTGCGTTTGTTTGCATGCTTGTTTATCTGGAAAATCAACTTGAAGTTGCATTATCCTTGTTTGGAGAGGCAGTTAGCAAAGCCCATGTTAATCTCATCAGTGTGGAGTCGAGAAAGGAATATATTTCCTTCTCCTGAATCCATCATGCTCTGTGTGTGTGTGGAAAAAAAAAAAATAATTCCTCATTGCTTCCAATCTCTGCTCTTTATTTTCCAGTACATTTTTGGGTGCGATGAACTCTGAGCCATTTCATTATTCTAATGCTAATTGAAATGTGAGCATTTAGGGAAATGTAGCCCCCAGAGCAAGTTGCCAGTGGGAGTTGAGCAGAGAAGAGGTGGAATCCTTTATTCTGGCAGTTAAATGCAGCAAGGTTTGAAATGAGTAATGGAGGGTTATTTATTTATTTTTTTTTCACCTCGATGGCACGGTTGCATGGAGGGAGAGGGCTTTGGGTCTCTTCCTGAGGCTGTTTTATTTGGTCACAGTGCAATTGCAGCAGAGCCATGGAGTAATTGCAGTGCCTCTCGCAGCTCTGCTCATCACCTTTGCTGGGTAAAGATGACGGGAGATGCTTTTCCCCGCTTGCTTACGGGTTCATGAGATGCCCAAGCAGGTTTTCAGCAGGTCACTGACCCTGAATCCCAAGCCCTGCCTTCCCCTTGCCAGCAAACCTCCATAAAAACAGCAGGAACGGGGAAACTAAATGGGGGGAGCTAATGCAACGCTCCCCTTCCAATTTGCCCCATATTTATCCTGCGTCGTGGTGCTGGAGTGTTTTCCCTGTGGTGCTGGAGGGATGAGGCTGATGCTGGGGAAGTCGGAGAAACTCGTGTTTTTTCCCTGTGCTCGCTGTTTGTTGTGGTTTAGTTTTAACCCTTTGGGGGCCGGGGAGCAGCAGGAAAAGCTGGGAAGGGTTTGGAAGCCACCAGCGTGAGCGACTGTGCGTTGTCAGATGCACAGACATCTGAACTGCTGTGAGAGGTAGTATTACACCAGTGCTTTGTGCCCAGAAAATGTCTTTACTGCTTTGAAAATGAAAAATGCTGATAAGCAGTCAGAAAAAAGGAGTGGGGGGAAAAAAACCCAAATGGACAACTCCAGAAAAAGATATTGGGTATTTTTTTTGGAAAGGAGCTTCTCTTAAGTTGGGGAAGGAGAAGAAGGTGCCAGTTTTTGCTGGAATTTGTATGCCTCTCTGCTTCACACTGGGCAAAGCACATTCCTCCACCCCCTGCATCGTTGCTGGACCCATGCCTCCGTTTTTGGGCTTGGCAGGGCTGAGGGACAGGACTGGGGTGAACCCCAAAATGCTCTCAGGGGCTGAGACTGAGCATGAATGAAAACTTTCCATAAGGGTCTGTGTTTACTGGGAAGACAGAGATGGTTTATAGGGGCTGCTTATGGGAGCAGAGGGTTGATTTATGTGGCAGGGATGCTTCTCAGAGAAGGGGTCACTGCTGGGAGCAAGAGCTCCATGTTCATGCTCTTGTGCAGGAGGCATCAGGTCCTGGACCCTTTCAGGCTGATGTCAGGCCTCCCCTTGCCAGCCCTGACATCATGGCTGTTGGGGTGAGGGTGCCTAGAAGCCCAGCCTGGTCATCGCTGAATCACTCCTGGCATGTGAGTCTGATTCAGCTGGGCAAGGAGCAGTGTTTTCCCCCTGCTTGCCATGCTCACCGGGGACTTGGCCTCGTTAGGCAGCTTGTGGGCAGCCAGTGGGCAAAAGCACCTTCTCCCACTGGGCTGGGGGCGAGCAGGGGTGGCTCAGTCCTGGTCCAGTGGCTGAGGGATGCAGTGCTCCAGCTGGAACCTCCCCACAGGCCCTGGGGAAGGTGGTGGTCGCTGCTCCATCTTGTTGCTGGCGAAAAAGCAAATGGAGTGTGGGGTAGTGAAACAACCCTGTGACCAGGCAGAGCCTTATTCAGGTCCAAAAGAGAGCTCAGCTTCCAAATCAGAGCTTGAGTGTTGTTGATGAAAGACTGCCAGAGCCCATTCAGAGAGCTGGGCTAAAAAAACCCAGTGTGAGCCATCTTGGAGGGCTTGTCCATGTTACCCCCTGGAGCAAGGGCAAGGCCCCTCCATGCCAGCCCATCCCAGCCCTGCACTGGAGGCTGAGCCATCAGGAGTTTTGGGTTATATCACTTCTCAGTGCTGATGAGACCCCGTGAGGCGAGGACAACAGAAGAGGAACAGGGGGCACCCAGCCTGTAGTGCTGCCCAAGGAGGGTGGTGGGGCAGGCCAGCCCTATGGGTGCCCTGAGTGTGGTACCCCACCATCGAGCCTCCTTCAAAGGAATGGCCTTTGCTTCAATTCCTGGTGCTTCTGTCTTCCTACACATCCTCCTTCAGGGCTGGGGTGGCTCCTGCCCTGGTTGGGCTGAAGGGGACAGTAACACACAACCTTTTGGTAAATCCAGGTCAGTAGTGAGGCAGGGGAAATGCAAGAGCCTCCTGCCCTGAGATGGACGAGGAGGAGTTGGCTTGGCTGATGTCCCTCTGCCCTTTCCCAGCATTGTCAGAAACGTACCTGACTGTGGGTTGCATCCCTGGAGATGTGAGCCTGCACACAGATCCCTGGGTGAGGTGCCAGCAGCCCGTCTAGCCAGAGAGGCAGCTTGCACCTGGCTGACAAGGCTCCAGTGTGGAGTCATGCTCTGAACTTCCCCCTCTCAATTTCAAGAGAGGGCACTGTGGGGTATGTCCATGCCATTGCTTTTCCCGTGCAGCTGGGTGGCCTTTGCTGTGTCCCCAGCCAGGTGTGACTTACAGAGATGTCCAAGCTTCCCCCAACCCATCCTCACCCCTGTGCCGTGGGGCTTTACCCACCGCAAGGCCAGATGCACAGGTGGAACTCTGATCCCGGAGTTCCCGTGGCACAGAACCCCTTCCATCCCTGCCTGCTGAGCAGCCGGCGTGTTTGTCACCGCGGGTCCCCAGCCCTGGCACCGTGGGGGGCTGGCTGCCACATGGGGCTCGCCTGTGCTGCCGTGTGCCGGGGGGACAGCGGGCATGGCGTGCCAGG